AATTCTGAGACCTGATAACATTTTTTTTACATAACCTCTCACCAATACTCTCAGCCTAAACACAAAAGAGCCTCAAATCTTACTCAGCTAAACCCCTCCAATTATGCAAGGCTTTCAAGCACTTGTAATTCCTCTGAGGTTTTCAGTTCTGTTGGAGAAAGTGAAACGCTGAGGGAAACTCCAGGTTCCAGCAGCAGTGGGGGCTTGCACAGCTCTCATCCATCCATCCATCCATCCATCCATCCATCCATCCATCCATCCTTTTCTTGGTGCTGCTTCCTCCCTCAACTTCTTCCCATCCCAACTGACACTGAACTGAAAGAGGACAGCACAACCCAACAAGAAATCTTCCAAAATGCAGACACTGAGGTCTGACTTTGAAAAATGCTGTGAAAATACCAATGGAGAGAACAGTTGAGATTTCAGGACTGTTGGGTGTTTCTGGAAAGGCCCAAGAAACTCTTCCAAAGTCACTGTCAGATAAACAAGAATACTAAATTACATACTAAAGCTGGGGAATCTGTTTCAGTCCTATTATTAAGATATTTTTCAGTTACTTTTATTAGGTTTTGTTGACATTTAAAAATGCAGAATGCCTAAGAACTGAGCATCCCTTTCCCATTCAATCACATCTCAAATTAGATAATCTGTGAACAAAGTAAATTAAAATGACAAGGAAAATTTTTAGAGATCAAAGTTTTCTAAAAGAAAACCTAACAAAGATCAAGACATACAAAAGACATAGGAATCAAAACTTCTTCACTAGAGACTATCAAAAACCAAGGCTGACAAATTCCTGGCAAAGGCACTATAATGAAACTTCTGTAGGAAAAGCAAATGGCTTTGAGGAAACCAGGCACAGTTTCCCACTCTGCTGAGCAGTGAATGAACCCATTCAGCCCCTACACCCCCTGACTGCTCACATCTGCAGAGGGCTGTTCTCCAACACAAGAAATACTGTTCAAAGGGGCCAGTCTTTCCAATATTAACTGGATTATACAGTACAGTCTTTGCAAAACACCATTAGGCTTTGGAAGTGGATTTTTATTTCATAGGCATTAAATCATAAACTCATAAAAGTCTCTCCTTCTCCCATTTCATTAACACAGACATTCTCTGCCATTTTGGCTCACCAGAGTATCAACAGCTATGAGCCTTGACAGAGCTACCAGTGTGTGAGACTGAGGCAGAGGTGGATACTTCATTGACCAAACACTTTTAAGGTACAGTTCAATTCTCAAGAATTAAAGCAAACAACAGTGAGGATTTTGAATTTTGCAAGCGGGCAAGAAGGGACTGAAAGCAGAAAGTTGATTTCTCCAGTAATTCAGCCACAGCAAAGTAGCTTCTCAGGCAGCACTTATGAATCTGGACACATCTCTGGGAAGTTGGATTACAACACTTGAACATTTCCGGAGAAAAGTCAGTGCTGTTCATCCCTCATCATAACACTAACATGTCCTGGATCATCTGTAAGCACTTCATCCCTGCACACAGCTCATTTACATGCTCTTGGCTTTTTCCAGAAGTGCTCCAGGAAGCATTTCAATACACAGCGCCTCCCAGGACCAAGTAGTTCTTGACAACTACTTGAAATTACAAACGGAGTATGGATCCTTTGACCTCTCAGGATACACTTGAACAGGAATTATCTGATGATTAAAGTCTCCCATTGCCTAAAAATTGCTGGCAGGCTTAATTGAAAAAAAAACCAGAACATACACTTCTTAAACTGCAAATAGAACTGGCACTGCTTTGTGCCTTTATTGGCAATTTCTTGGAGAGGCCAACGAACAACTTTGAGAAAAGAAACATCATTGAGAAGGAAATGTCTCCTAGACATTCATCTAAAGTCACATTTGAGGCACAATGGCAGAGCAATGGGGGTAAAGAATGGGAATCAGGATGGATTTACAAGATCATGCCCAAGAGACTTCCATTCCATTAGATTGAGAATTTTAGTCTCCATGCTCATCAATCAAGACATTGTATTTCCATTTGCATAAACCCTTCTGGGATTTATTTCTTGTCTTCTTCACAGCTTTAAATGCAAGACCAAATTTTACAGTAGAGGAGTTGCAGATGTGACAATTCATAATCTTGTGAAACACAACATTTGCCACCTTGCTCGAAAACGGCTCTGATACATCTCACTTGTGAGCCTCTGAAACTGAGTGTAAGATGAAATCCCATCCAGTCTAATTACCAGGGAAGTTTCATAGCCTCACAGTCCCAACTAAGTTATCTTTCTGAAGATTCTAATCTCAAAAATATGGTTATATATCGCCGCCTACCTCCAAAAGCCCGCCACTATGTCTGTGTGCGCAGGCGCCGGGAGCGCTTGGTCAGGACACACTGCACACCCTCCAGCAGGACCTGAGCCCTGGCACTGCTGCCAGCCACCTCCATGGCACGCTGGGCTGGGCCCCAGAACTCCATGCCTGTGCTGCAAGTCTTTTTCTGAACTTGGAATATGGTGACTACGCCAGCTGATAATCAGAATCTGTTCTAAGTTATTAATTATGATCGATAATTCAAGTTTTGCATATTAGTGTAAGGCAGTTAACAGTGTAAAAAGAGAGAAGCAGTCAGTTTTCACAAGCCTTATCAAAAGATGACTTGCTAGACACTCCAAGGCTTTTTCATTTCTTTTTCGTTGTCAAATGCAAAGTGTAAAATTGAAGAGGAGTGCCAAGCAGAAGGTTGTGCATGGTACATGGTGACTGCACAAAATCCACAAATTTAGGGTTGAGCACAGAAGCAGGAAAGAAATGAAATCTCATAGCAAAGGGAATGGAAAGTATCACATGGAGGTAAAATTAGCATTAAAACTACTAAGGAGATGAAGCCAACTTTGGTGTTGTCACCACAGGCTGGCAGGCAGTGCCACTACCAGGGGGACCAGAACTTGCTGAGGGCCATATATGACTGACTGCACACCATGATCCAACTGAAGAGAAAATCCAATTCAAATTGAATCAATGCAAAGACTTAAACACCTTGATGACGCACATGGGAACATCCCAAAAGGCAAAACACCCCAAAGTTCTAACCGATAACCAGCAACACAGAGCATTTTAGAACATGATGTAAGACAAGTACAAAGGTTCCCAATAATTATTCTCATGTATTCTGTATTCTTTCCTTGTACAATATGTAGAGATCTTGCTGACAGGGCATACAGATAGAATACAGCCTGTGTCTGTTTACAGTAATTCTGTCCTCAGCTCTCTCTCAAACAGCCCTGGCTCCTTTTGGCCCCTGTCCCCTGGCTCCTCAGGGCCATTGTTCAGCTCCCAGCTCAACTGCAGCAAAACAGCTCTTAAATGTGCTGTAGAAATGGTAGCACTTTAATGCCAGCGCTCAGCATAGCAACCAGCCACTCTAAATAAATAAATAATGAAGCCTGGTATTCCAACAGATAATATAAATACACCTTCAGCAAATTTCTTGGGTCCAAAGGTCAATCAACTTGTTTGCTCTGACTCCCAGAATGTGTAAATCTCAACATGATGTTTAAACACAAACACAGACAAACATCAAAGTTCAATGCTGACATATTTTACACCTCAGAGTTACATGCCAGAATAGCTCTGTACCACACAGAGAAAACTGTAATGCATGTGTAAGGAAGTGATAAAACCCTAGCCTGAACTAAATCCAAATGTTTTTCTTTAAATAGCCTCTCATTCTGTATTTTTCCTCTTCTTTCTTCTCTATTTATTCTCATTCATCCTCTCACACAGAGAAGTATTTATGCAGCTGTCTAATTTCACCAGTCCTCCCCTTAATTACCAATAAAAGGGGAGATGAAACTTTCCATCCTAAGACTCATTTCAGGGATGTGTGTTTCTATATCCCTGACTGATTCACACACAGGAACATACCTGTATTTACAAAACCACGACATTTCAAGGTAAACCACCAGTTCCTGAGCAAGAGAATGGACCCACCAGCTACACTGGCACTTCTGGGCTGCTGTGCAGACCAGCCACTCTCAGCCTCTCTCCTAAAGGAAATAATCCCACAGCTTCCACTCAAGCTGTGCTCTTCTTGCTGGCTTCTCATTCATTTTCCCCCTGAACAGCTCTGGACTGTCCAAAAATGAAACACAAGGGACTTCAGGAAGCACAAGGAATTAATTTCACAAATGGAAACCCAGCAGGGTGAAAGGGAACACTTCTCCCCAGTGTCCCAGAGCCACCTGCCCCTCTCCTTTAGGGTGATATGATCCTGATAGAGGGGGGCTCACTGTGCATGATCCCCATGCCCCTCTCCTTTAGGGTGATGTGATCCTGATAGAGGAGGGCTCACTGTGCATGATCCCCATGCCCCTCTCCTTTAGGGTGATGTGATCCTGATAGAGGAGGGCTCACTGTGCATGATCCCCATGCCCCTCTCCTTTGGGGTGATGTGATCCTGATAGAGGGGGGCTCACTGTGCATGATCTGTCCCCATGCCCCTCTCCTTTGGGGTGATGTGATCCTGACAGAGGGGGGCTCACTGTGCATGATCCCCATGCCCCTCTCCTTTAGGGTGATGTGATCCTGATAGAGGAGGGCTCACTGTGCATGATCCCCATGCCCCTCTCCTTTAGGGTGATGTGATCCTGATAGAGGAGGGCTCACTGTGCATGATCCCCATGCCCAGCAGTACCAGGAAGCAGCAATGGAAGTGAGCGCGGGCTCCATGCATGGAATTGCTCAGCTCCCCTTCCCCTGCCACAGCAAACCTGGGCTGAGGCAAAACCCCCTCCTTTGTCAGCACAGGGGGATTTTCTCAGAACCGCGTTTTCACGGATGGGATGGGGAAAGGCAGGACGCGGTGAAGGAGGAGTGGGCAACTTCTGAAATGAAACCGGTGTAATAACTCACAGAGCTGCTCTCACCTTTCCCGGGCGATCCCAGCGATCCCACCCGGAGGTGGGGCAGCAGGGCTCGCTGGCAGAGCAGCAGGTGGGCGCTCCCCATCCCATCCCATCCCATCCCCTCCCCGCTCACCTTCCTGGCTCCTCTCCGGGCGAACTCCCGGGCCAGGTGCCGGCCGATGCCGCGGCCCCCGCCGGTGACCAGCACGTTCTCCCGGGACAGGTCTCGCAGCTTGGGCGGTAGCAGCAGGCACACGGCGGCTTTCACCACCAGATACACCATCTGCACCGGGAACAGCAGCAGGGCGCCCAGCCACTTCCACATCATCCTCTTCTGCCACGCAAAGTTCTCTTCCAAACCTCCACAGAACCAAGGTGACAGAGAAAGAAAAGCGATTGCCTTCATGCACCCCCAGATGGGTGACAATTCTTCAACCCCCCTTCCAAAACTTGGGGGCAAGAGGTTCTTGAACTGGAAAAATCCTTTCCTCCCCCTAAAAAAGGTGGGGGTAGGAGTAAAGTAGTGCAGAAGACCAAGTCACTCCCCTGTTTCTTGATCGGTGTCCTCTGGGATTGTCACACGCAGGTAAAACAGCTTCCTTGCTTTTTCACTGGAAAGCTTTTTTTTTAATTAAAAGAGAGGGGAAAAAAAAAAAAAAAGTAGAATTAAAAGTAACCATACATCCCTCCGCTGCAAAAACCCACATAAAAATCCAGTATCCAAAGGAAAGGTTTTTATATTTAGAAAAATAAAGCAGCTTATGTTTCCAAATTTCAGCCTGCAGTGCCTTCCAGGCAGCTCATTTCTATTCTTAGACTCAGGAAATTGCTTAAATAAGATAGAATTGCCAGGACCTTCTTTTTAAGAAAGCCTCAATTCAGGGTGAGGTTGTTGTTTTTGTTTTAGTATCTATAAATATCTATAGACGTTCTGTCCTGAGCCGGTTGCAAAAGGCTGAGCCGGTCACTGCCTCTCTCTGCCCCCTCTCCCGGTTTTTTCACTTGGAGCGTGGATCACAGAGCAGGAATTACGCCGTGCACTACTTCAGCTCTGGCTCTTACTCATTTCTGCCTATTGCCGTCTCTGCCGCTCAGGGCCGCGGCGCTGGGGAGGTTTTATACCCCATTAATCCTGATTGACAGTTAAAGTGTCGGGCCGATTTCACTACTGTTCCTGGGAGTGGCTGCTGCTCTGCCCTCCCCCGCCGGCCGCCGCCGCGCCACCGGCTCGCTGCGGCTGGGCCGGCGCTGCCAGCGCGGCCGCCAGGGCCACCTGCGGGCACTGTGGGCTATCTGTGACCCGGCAGGGCCAGCTGCGGGCACTGTGGGCTATGTTTGAGCCGCCAGGGCCACCTGCGGGCACTGTGGGCAATCTGTGAGCCGGCAGGGCCACCTGCGGGCACTGTGGGCTATCTGCGAGCCGCCAGGGCCACCTGCGGGCACTGTGGGCTATGTTTGAGCCGGCAGGGCCACCTGCGGGCACTATGGGCCACCTGCGGGCACTGTGGGCAATCTGTGAGCCGGCAGGGCCACCTGCGGGTACTATGGGCCATCTGTGAGCCGGCAGGGCCACCTGCGGGCACTGTGGGCAATCTGTGACCCGGCAGGGCCACCTGCGGGCACTGTGGGCTATTTGTGGGCCGGCAGGGCCACCTGCGGGTACTCCAGGCCATCTGTGGGCTGGCAGGGCCAGCTGCGGGCACCATGGGCCAGCTGCGGGCTGCCAGGGCCACCTGTGGGCACTATGGGCCAGCTGCGGGCATCCTAAGCTTTCTGTGGGCTGCCAGGGCCACCTGTGGGTACCCTGGGCGAGCTGTGGGGCAGCAGGGTCAGCTGTGGGCACTCTGGGCTCGCTGTGACTACCCGGAGCTTTCTATGGTCACCCTGGGCCACCTGCAGCCACCCTGGGCCATCTGTGGGCCAGCAGGGCCAGCTGCGGGCACCTTGGCATTGCTGCAGACACCATGGGCCAGCTGAGGACCAGCAGGGCCACCTGTGGGCACCCTGGGATTGCTGCAGCCAGCAGGGCCAGCTGCGGGCACCCTGGGCCACTTGTGGGCACCCTGGGCCAGCTGGAGCCACCCTGAGCTTGCTACAGGCACCCTGGGCCACCTGTGGGCACCCTGGGCATGCTGCGGCCACCCTGGGGCCAGCTGTGGGCACCCTGGGTTACCTGTGGGACCCTGGGCATGCTGCAGCCACCCTGGCTTTGCTGCAGGCACGCTGGGCATCCTGCAGGTGCCAAAGTCAAATAGCTTTAAATACTACACCCTGGGCCAGCTGAGGGCATGGGGGGCAAACTGAGGGCACACTGGGCTTGCTGTGGGTGTGCTGGGCTCATGCCATGCTGGGCTTGCTCCATGTTGCCCTGGGCTCTCATGCATGCCAGGCTGGGCTCTGTGCAGGAACCAAAGTGCTCTGCACCAGGTCAGGCAGCCCCTGCCTCCTCCCTCACCTTCATGCACCACAAAGGTGCCCAGGTCTGACCTGAGCCCAGGGAAAAGAGGTCCAGGAAGAACCAGGGCTAAGGCTGAGTTCAAGGGAACCATCTCTGGGATTGCTGCTTGCCCAAGATCTGCTGGTGTGTGCAGGGCAAAGCTCCTTGCAGCCCTAGATTACCAGCTGAACCCAGCCTAAGCTGATAATCACCAATATCTAGTACCACTGACCAGTGTTTTTCTGGATAATGTGATGCCTCATGGATTTTCCATGCTGGAAGATGTTTGCACTGCTGAAAACTGGAGATTCAGCAATGAAAAAGGCAGGCTCTGAATGACAGTGGGAGACTCACCCTTTAAAAAAGGGTGGTTTCTTCCAAGACTTTTTTGTCTGGTGATAAGGGCATACCTGGAAGTTCTCCATAGCACTTCAAATTCTGAAAAGAGGGAAAAGGGCAGAGTGTATTACAGCAGGTCCCCAGGTCCCTGGCCGTTTGCACTGTCAAGCATTAGACAGGTAAATTATGATTTTGGTTGTACACATGAAGCTTTTCTGAGAAGGCTGTAACTGCACATTCATTTCAGAATTAACCTGAAATGCAAAGCTTTAAGGATATCAGAAAATCTCAAGGATATCAAACCTCACAGTGTTGTCTTCACAGCTGGGCTGGAAAGAAATTTGGGGTTTAATCTGCAGGTATCACTAGGGTTCATCAAAATGAATCCAGTGCACAAGTTCACTCGGGTCTGGAGCCAGATGAACTATCCTGGGAAGCCATCTAGAGGTAAACACTGGAATTAAGGGAAAACTCCAAAACATTCCCAAGCTTCTTCACTTCTCTAGTTCCTAAAACACCACCTCAATGGGCATTTGAATCTAAGCATCTGTGAGAGAGAGGGGTGAGTTTGGATGCAGAATCCCTTTAAAAATGAACTCACTTTTCTTCTTTGGAATCAAACAGGTATTTTTGAAAGCAGGCAATCAAAATGGCCATGTGGGAACAGTGTTTTCAGGGGTTTTTTGTTGGCAAAAAGAAGGGCAGCCAAGTTTCTGGTGCCCCCCACATTCAACAGCTCTATCACACATAGATTTTTTGATTAAAAATATGAAAAATACCTAAATCCTTGAATTTCAGCTCTGTTAAAAGTTCCACAAAAGTTTTAAGGGAAGGAAAAAAAAAAAGAAAATTGAGAAGAGAAACTTGCACAGTTTTTACCTTTAACTGGCGGGTTACCTCATATGAAATAAGCCATATGACTGTCACTGCATAATCAGAGTGTCAGGAGGGGGTTTTGAGGAGAAGATGAAGCATCCCAACTGGAAACTGTCTGTACATTCTGTCAGAATCAGTGAGTGTTCCTAACTCAGCTGCATCTGAAACAGCCAGAGAATTTCCATGGCCTGTTGGCAGCACTGAGCACCTTGGTGTGTTTTTACAGTAATACCTCCAGAAATGCAGCTCGGGGAGGCACCTGGCATTACAATTTTCCTCTCAGTCCAACAGCTCTGGAGGGGAGAGAGAAATTACCCAGAGAAGCCAGTGTGTGGCTGAGACAGGCATGACTCAGTGTCTGGACTGGGAACAAATATAACAACTTTCTGCTCCGGAAATAAGGAGCAGTGTTGAAAATGAAAGGATATGAACTGCAGCAAAGTATATTTGGTTTTTTTGATTCCTGAGTTCAGTCTCTTAGTGCTTAAAGCACCACAGACACATTTAAAATAGAAAACTCATCAATATTGCAGAGTTAATTTGTTTAAATGACAATTAATTATTAATGTAAAACATTTGCAGGTCCTTTGAAGCCAGAGGGAATGGAATAATCTTGTGTTTATTTCATGTCTATTTTATGTCTATTTCCAGCTTGAATAATAACCTAAATATGTGTTTGAAGAGATTTTTTAATTCATTATGATTTTGACCTATGTATAAAGTTGCTACCAAATATGGCTTGGGAGTTAGAAAATGGTTCTAGATATATAACATTTTCCTGACCTGTGCTTCAAATTTCATTGAAGTATGAACTATTTTCCTTCTTCACTACTTTAGTTTTATCTTGAAGCAATGAAAACTAGTAGATGCTACATTGTAGAAACCTACAAAAACAAGAAGCAAAAGCAGATTTATAGTAAAACTGAACTTAGTGCATCTTGCATGTAGTAAATAAAAACCATGTGCAAGTTATTTTAAAATTCTCATAATTCAACCAAAAAGTCAAATAGCTTTAAGTACTACACATACTGTACGTGAGAACATTAGAACTTTAGAGGTATTGTCCCTTTTAATTGCAGTTCTACTCTGAAAAGGAAAAAAAGGAATATTCTGGAATTTCCTCTGATTTTTGTACAGCAACCACTGCACTCTTTCTTGGCAAGAGGTCTTTTTCCAAACTGTCACCTTTACAAAAGCAACATGAACTTTTATTCGCTAAGTCCATCTCTGTTAGTGAGACTCCCTAAAGTACATTTCCATGTGGGGCTGATTGTCCAAGGTGTTTTCAGTACTGCTGGTACAGACACTCAGCACACACCTTGGTGAGGGTAACAAGGATCTGTCCCATCACAGCTTTCCCTTTAATTATCAGCCCTAAGTTGTTCCAAAGTGAATCCCATCCATGTTTCCACTCAGAAGTCCTAAACCAGTGCCCTGAAACATTCCATAGGCAGGCCTGTTAGTTCTGTGAAACTGCATCATCTTCAGAACTAATTTTGCATTTTCAGCAGTTGTTTCCTACACAGACACTCACAACAAAGTATAAACTGAACAAACAACCAACACAACAACTTTTTAAAGCCCTTTTCATGGCACTTTTACTATGTTTATTCCAATTTACGAGAGCAAGAAGGTGGTCAGGCTTACAATGGGATTCTTTGGGTGGTCCTGTGCAGGGCCAGGAGCTGAACTTTGATGATCCTTATGGATGTGTTCCAACTTGGGATATTCTGTGATTCTCTGTAATGTATTTCAGTGGAAACTCAAGCCAGTTTTGGCTTCCATTTGTTGGTTTAGATTTCTGGGTTTGTACTTGTGTAGCTTTTGGAGTGTACTTAGTGTACATTTACTCATGTTCTCAATAAGAGTCATAGAAACCAATTTTTTCTGACTTGTGGTGGCTTGAAGGAAAAACTAGCAGTGAAAAGCACATTTACCTCCAAAACAAGTTG